AGCATCTCAAGCAGCTGCACTGCTCAGTAACATCTGTAGAGCATGAAAAGCGTTGCCAATTGATTTAAAAAGGGAAAAAAAAAAAGAAACAGATAAAAGGTTAGTGTCTCAGCTAGGGCAGAGAGGCTTGACAGAACTTCTCTGCTCAAACACAATGAAGCAGGTATTTTTAATGGAGAGTCTATTTTACGGAATATACTTCATATTGTTAGACTGCTATTATGCCCTCACTATATAGCCCCATAATTAATTCCTTATATTCTGCCAGATACTTTACGTGGCAAGAATAAAGATTAGAGCCAGCCAGCCTGCTTGTGAGCAACAGAGAAAAACAGCTGCAAACGAATTTAAAAAGTAGAACTGAACAATCTAAACTGAATTTCCATTTGCAACTAAATATAACGCATCAGAAAACACACTTTCCTGGCTGGATCAGGAGAGCAGATCTGGACTATCAGAGATGCATATGGGAAAAATAAATAGTGGTGGATCTCAAGACAGCTACCCAGTGATTTTCACCCGTCACCAAGAACTGTGACATTAGCAGTTCAGAGAGATAATACTGAACCATAAGGCAGATATGAAAAGCCTCAGAAGACTCATGCAACAACAAGCTTCCCTTCTGCTTTTGTTTTCCATTGTTTTGGTAGAGCGTACTACTCAGAAGATTGCCTCGAAGATGTTTCTATTTTCCCTTGTGTCTATTTGATTTCGTTTTACAGAAAAAAAGCGACAAAATCCCTAGGAACTTACAGGGTCTCATTTTGGCTGACAAACTGCTGGAAACTCAAGATTTTCTCTGCTCTCAGTAGGAGCTGGAACATCAGCTGCAAAGCCCAAAACTTGCCTCAGCCTGCACTTCATACCATCCCTCCCACGCGGCTGTGAGCTCCAAAGCTCACTCACTGCCATAAGAAGTCTCACTATGCCTGGGGAAATAGAAGTGGCATGCAGAAAAGCATCGAGTAGGTGACATTCCTGTGCTTGGACACTCACGGCATGGGAAATGCAACAGAAAGGCCAAGCACAAAACTTACTTTAGGTCTGGGCAATGAAAATATCTGGGATAATCATGCTGAGAGGAACATTTGGCAGGTCTGGCATTTTCAAGCTGTGAAATGGCTCTTGACCTACACCCCCACAAGCTTTATGAATTACATGGAATAACTTACAGCCAAAGGTCTTTGTTCACCTGTATTGTTCTGAGTGTATCACGCTACAAAGCGGTATCAAGAGGTAGATTCCAGCACTTTAATATATCCCCAGACTTTTACCAAAATAGGTAACACATAGAGAGGCATTTTGTCACAATTCTGGCAAAAGCGACAAAAAAGCAAGGAGGATCTTTGCAGAACGCCGTGCAATGCATGAGGAAAAGTCTGCATACTGATGGGGAAAAATACATGGACTAAGCTAATTACTGTAATTAAGGTGGAGGCAGGTGTAACCCCCTTGTAAAGTGCTGTGCACCACGTGGAACAAGCATGAACCAGGCATGCTCTGAACGTGATGGGAGGTCACTGCCTAATTGCAAATTTAAAGACAAGTAGAATTACAAAAAAAAAAGCTCGAGAGGGCCATGTTATGGGTGGGGCTGAGAACACTTTTTAATGCATCTGTCCTCACCGCACCACTGTCTAATAAAGAACTGCTGCTACCCTGTTTTATAGCCTATGCTTGCTGACACAGAATTACCCAAGGAAGCCTGAGGCAAAGCAAAAGCCTGAACTATTTTTCAAGTCACAGGCCAGTTTTTCAACTCAATGCTGTCCTCCCTCTCCCGTCCTCCAAGAGGCTGAAGCTAAAGGGAAGCGTGGCCTGTAATTCTTCTTTTGCAATAACACACGTAGCATCATCGTGTTTGCCAACGTTGGTCTTTCATTATAGAGCATTATACATACGGTGACACAGGAGGAGGAAAGGCTTCGGATCTGGAGAGGAATCACTCCTGGTAAAATATACACCACCAATGGCACAACTTCATTTCAGGTGTTTGGGTTTCCTTGACACAGTACAGCAAGTTCTTGTTTGAGTTAGAAAGGTCGCTTTCATGAAAGCAGCTTATTAATAAACTACAGGCAACAGCTGAATTCCTCATATCTAGCAGCAAGCAAGAGAAAACTAACGCACAGTACAGATTTTTATTAAACGGCAGCTTTCTATTTTTACCAACTGAACACAAAAAAATCTTGTTCAAATGATGGGCTGTGGCAGCTTTCATAAAATATGCATTCAAAATTTATCAGAAACGTCCAGAATGAGCAAATCATCCATCAAAACTAACCCACAGCTGCAGTTAACCACGTACACGGTTTGATACGCATTATCATTCACGTACTTGGCTTTGAGATGTCTCTATATAATCCTGGGCATCCAGAAATTTATATCCTGGTTTGACACTAATATGTGGTGTGATTTTGGACAAATTACTGAAGATTTGATGACTCATTATTTCTTCCAGCTATATCAAAACAGGCCAAATCATCCTGCCTCAGTCATGACTTCAGTAAAACAGAGGTCTTTGGATGAATGACACTATACCAAGTGTATTAACACCCCAACTAGGCATACATCAGTGATAGCTAAATTCAAGTTATCTTGTAAGCCCCTATGTTTTATTACTGTTTTAAGTCCCACTCGTTCACTGGCAATCATTTAGTAGATTATGTCAGACCGGCTTCCCATGGAGACAACTATATTATCATAAAGCACAGAGGGTCAAAGCTCTTCAAGAAAAAACCAGGACGCAAGCTCCGTAGAGAAAAGGAACAGACCTGAAAGAAAAATACTGTGGGGAAAAAACACAGATTAAATAAAAGAACTGCATTCACATGTCCATGTAATTACAGAGGGTAGAATCTGAAAGGATGTTTGCTCCCCTGGGAGCAATGATGTGTACTCCAGCCCTCCTACACCACAGAAGCTTTGATTCTCCCATCCTTGAGTGAGAACTTACATCTCATTCCACCCAACTTGCCCAGTTGCAGCAATGAGGAGTTACTGAAGAGGCAGGAAGGAAATCATTAAGGGGTAAAGAGATTTAAACGAGATCCTTGCACAGACACTAAGTAACAGAAGAGTCACAGCACTTTTCTTATTTTTCTCTCATTACCTCCTCCTCCCACACCCCTAAAAAACCCTTCACATTCATCAGGGAACAGATTTTTCTCAGCTTAGTCTATTCAGAACATCACCAACTGTAACCAAGTCAAGAAACATGTTCTGCTTGGAGAAGACATGCTTTATGAAACTGAAGTACTTATATAGCATGCCACCTTTTCAAGCTCATCCTGAATTCTGGGAGTGGGCAACAACGACTTGCTTTCGTAGAATTTAGTAAAGTTGGCTTGTGTCAACTTGAACTGACTGGTCACCAAACATGAAGTGGTGAGGGGGCTGCAGGGCCAACTGGAATAGAAGATAACCACTGCTTCAGCCCTCATCTTGTTTAAATAATAAAAAAATAAGCATAAATAAGCAGTCACAGGATGAAGACATGCATAACAACCAGTATTGAGGCCTTTGTTCCAGCAGACAGCATAAAATAACATCCTAAAGCACACCCAGCCTTACAATAAGCAGCCTATCCTTTCAAACCGCAGCTCATCCTGCTGCAAGTAGCAGATCAGCTATCTGAGCAGAACAAGACACCAAAAAGCCATTCTGAAAGGTTATGAAAATACAAAGTTTAAAGATTTTACAGTTAAGAACTTGGTCAGTGCACTAACTCTTATCCACTGCAATCAAATGGATCCTTCCTGCAGTGGAAGACACAGCGACAAAGGGGACTTGCACAAGACAATAATATGGGTTAGTTTACCTGGTAGGTGTTGTCAAAGCTGTCGTACATGAACCTGGTGATCAAGGAAGTCTTCCCCACTAAAAGAAGAAAAAAACAAAATACAGATTCAAGGAACAATTTCAGCGCAAGTTTTAAGCAAGTGATTTAAAAAAGGTTTCAGGAGGAGTTTATTCTGTGTCCCACAGATCCACACTGTGCAATTAAACTTCCTACAAGCAAAAGAGCATTTATTTGACTTTACAACTGTGAAGTCACCAGTAGGTGCATTTTTTCTGAAAAAGGCTGGTTCCTGTATCATTCCCAAGCACCAATTTTACGCTTAAACATCTGTGATTCGAGACAAAAACTACAATAACTTGATCATTCCAGCTTCTACCAAGTCACTCAGAAATTTTAGATAAACTAAATGAAAAAATGCAATAGATCCAACAACTCCTACAACGAATTATAAACAAGACCTCTCTTCTCGCTTATAGAAGGTAGCTATGCTGCTTTAAAATACACCTCGCTGCACAACTCATCAGTGTCACGCTCTCTGCATTTGTCACATAAATGGCAGTCCCTGCTGCAAGTATCACAGTAACATAAGACAAGATTGAAGTGCACCACTGTCTAGAGGCTTGTTTACCATCTGCCCACAATGCCTGCAGTCCTTATCACTCCATTAACTTCACCCTTCCTTTGACAACATATTCACTATACCTTTTTGAATGAGCAGGCTGACATGCTGTTAAAAATGCCATTATTCACCCCAGCGATGGCTGCAGCTCGTGCCTGGTATATCCACTTGGCTGTTCTGCATTAGGAAGTCAGTTGGCAGAGCAATCGGAAGGCGGCACTGCAGCACGTGCAGCCACAGCTGACAGGCAGACACAGACGATGCCTTTTTCACGAAGCCATTTGTGATGCTGCAGCTCCTTTTGGCCATGTTAAATCACAAACTACGTCAAAAGCCACATTTCTTGGCACTGATGAAGCCACGCCTCGAATCCTGCATTCAGTTTTGGGACCCTCACTAAAAGAAGGAGATTGAGGGGCTGGAGTGTGTCCAGAGAAGGGCAATGAAGTTTGTGAAGGGTCTGGATCACAAAAATGATGGCGAGTGGTTGAGGGAGCTGGAACTGTTTAGCCTGGAGAAGAGGAGGCTGAGGGGAGACCTTATCACCCTCTACAACCACCTGAAAGGAGGGGGTAGTGAGGTGGGTGTTGGTCTCTCCTCCCAAGTAACAAGTGATAGGATTAGAGGAAATGGCCTCGAGTTGTGCCAGGGGAGGTTTAGATTGGATATTAGGAGGAATTTCTTTACTGAAAGAGTGGTCAAGCATTGGGACAGGCTGCCCAGGGCAGTGGTGGAGTCACCATCCCTGGAGGTGTTGAAAAAACATGTAGATGTGGCACTGCAGGGCATGGTTTAGTGGCCATAGTGGGGTTGGGTAGATGGTTGGACTTCATGATCTTAGAGGACTTTTCCAACCTGAATGATTCTGTGATTTCACAACACAGACATAAACTGTGTGTACTGTAGCATTTCAGCCAGGTGTCAGATTATCTTGTAATCTCATTTACAAATAATAGTGATTGTTTTGAAATGAACCTCTGTCACAACAGTTGCTTTCTACACCTGTAAGACCAATGACAAAGTCCAACTCATACTCAATGGACAACTTTTCCTACTCCATGTCACCTTCACCTGTAAGGGGCCAGCAAGATACACAGGAACTGGAACATCCCAACCTGCCTCATTTCAATATGTTTAAATATTCTTAATTCTAGGCAAATTATTTAAGAAACAACTGAAGCTCCTTGAGAATGTATCACTTCTCATTTTCTTCTAACCTCCTTGCAGATGGAATTCACCATCTCCCACTGGGCAGAAGAGTTGTATGACTTAAATTAGCCATCAAACACTGCGGGTACAGATATAAAAAGCAGTCAGATGTGCAGAAGCCAAAGCTTGCGCTCTTCAAAGAAGCTTCCAGAGATGCTGCTTCTCTACAAGGGTGACTGTCAAGAGAGCAGGGGAATTTAAGACAAAATTTTAGTGGTGTGTTTTTGTTTGTTATGGTTTTTTTGGGGTTTTATGTCTTAATATAAAACTTTCAACAAAATCTCTAGTATTGTATTTAATCCATTCGCAAACTTCAGTTAACTCTGAAGAAGTGCTAAACTAACAAGAATCCAGTAGACAGCCTTTGAGAAAAGGCTTTCCCCAAGTGTCAAAATTTGAATTCCTGTGTGAGTTTTTAACATAATCTGCTCCATAGGCAAAATCAGCTTTTGCACAAAGCTAAAAAGCTGCCTTCCCAAAGGTAGAGCAAACATTCCCTTTGGTGAGTACGTTTTCAGAAGCAATACATCTCAGATGGGCAGGATTTCCAAATCCCTTATTGAAATTTGTCCCAGGACCCCATGGATGTTGAACAGCACAAGCTGGTGCAGGACAAACAGCTCTAAGCTGCGAGAGGAGGAGGGTTTCACTCCAGATCCAGCAACAGTGAAAATCCTCGAGAGACAGAGATGAGATGAGCAAATCCAATACCTTCCCACTGCAGCTCACGCTGTAAATCCCACTAATGGGTTTGCGGCACCACAAACCAGCTGCCTTTTCCTCCCATGGCCACTGATGCAAACAGTCAAATTTAATTCTTTAGAGGTACAAGGGCAGGTAATCAAACTCACAAAATAATCTGTAAGTCACACCCATGAAGAACACTGAAGTCTTCAGGCAAATCATTTCCCTTCCCGCTATACACTACAATGTCTTGGAGGGACTCTGTCTAGGAACTATAAAATCTGAAAAGATTTTTATTTCATATTCCTGGAGCTTCCCTAACCTAGCTTCACTCATTTCACAAAAAGATGGGAAATACATGTGCCACTTGGCTTGCTGATATTTAAATATCTGCTTCAGCCAACATTTGGATAGAGTGTCTCAATGCACTTCAGTTCTAAGACATTTCTTATTCAAACAGACCAAGGTTTTCTTTACACGGTATATCAACTGGCACCAGACTGAGTTAGTATTAACTGCTTACGGTTTTAATTCCATCACAACTCCCAAAGCATCACCATTTCTTCTTTAAAAAAAAAAAAAGCAACTTGCTTTAAAAATCCTGGCAGAAGTAAAAGCCCACAATTCCCACTGTATCTATAATTAAAAGGAAAAGGCAGTGAATCTTCTCTTCAGAAATTCACAAGTTTAGATTACATAAACAGATACCTTGTCCAGAGGGTTGCAGGCTTTAAATATTCCCTCTTTAAAAGAGCCACTCCTAATACTTAACACCCTCTCACCTCTCCCTACCCCTGCCTGCCAATGGCTCAAACTAGCCCCAGTCCTACAAAAAATAGCCACATGAATCACCTTCGGATTAGTTTACCATCTGTTGCACACTAAATGGATGCATACGTCGATTCTCCTATGGAAACCATGCTGCTGTAAGCCCTGTCTCAGAGAGCTTGAATATAGAGAAAGAAAACACACAAGAATTAATCTATTGTCAATGACTGACCTAGTTCAAGAGATACAAACTGAATTCCCAGTGAGGATAATCCCTTACGAAGGAAGACCCCATCTCCAGCACACCACAATCTGCTTGTTTCCTTTGTCAGAGCAACAAGGAAGGGCCATTGAGCCACAGTTCACTATTTGCTTTTGGAGTCCAGCCTCTGGGCTCTTCGATGAGTTATTTTTATACCAGTTTTTATTTGGATCATCATAATGGCACGTTAAGCCCCTGCATGTGACTTTAAAAATAAATAAAAATAACAATAACAAAATTGCAAAAAAACCCCAGTTTATTGATGGACAATCTGCAGGAGATTCTGAATCCCATTCTGCTATGTATTTTCACTTGCTTTCTATTCTGTCTTCCTGTCTGTATGTCTATCGAATTCACAGAAGGTGATTAGGGAGTGATCGCAAGCAAGTTAGAGGACAGAACCAGAATTCAAAATAATCTTGAAAAATGCAGAAGTGACCTCAAGAGGAAAATGAAGCTCAGCAGGGAGAAGCAGCACAAGGTAATACACACAGACAAGAACTGCCTGCTTAAAATACAGATGGCAAACAACCGGGTAAGCAATCTGGGGGTTATAAACAGAGGAAGCAGATAAGACAGTCAAGATTTCAGCCTTCTTTCATCAAGCAGGTTTGTTTGGTTGGTTTTTAAATATACTGGGTTAATTTAATCTCTTGGAAAAATTTCAACACACAAATATGTCCAGGGCAGCATCAGTCAGCAATGCAGCAGCACGCGACATCCTTTAGGCCAAAATATTTCTGGTATGCTGCTGGGACAAGAAATGTTAACATTATTCTTGGAGAAATAAAGGTGGGGGAGGAAATGCTATGAATGGAGTTTTACTGCAGTGCCCAGCTTTGGCTGGAGCAGCGAGAGGCATTTTTCTGGACACGCTGACAGCAAGCGAGGAAAAACCTCAAACAAATCAGGGGAAGGAGCTTTTTGGCAAGAAAGAAAGGCAACTTGCACAGTTTGCACAGAAGAACTGAAAGGAGATGGATAGCAGAGAGATTAGTGATAAGAAAAGGAGGTCTCCAGCGTCCTTTCTTTCTGTAGATCAAGATCTAACAGCTAAAAGCCAAGTCCAAACAAAGTCCTACCAGAGAAGGCATGTGACTTTAAAGGTAAGGGTAATTAAACTCTGAAATAACCCGTTCAGCTGGGCAGTGGATTCTCCTCCCTTCCTCCACATGCAGAGTTACCAGATGTTGTTCTATTGCAGGAATTGACATGAAAGGCACCTGAAAATTTTTTGAAGCAGAGGAAAGGTAAGAAAATAACTGATTAACAAAAGAAACCATTTGTTCCACCACTGCACCTGAATATCAATTTCAGAAACCCTTCTGTCGTGAAGCGGCTGAACAACAGTAGCAGCGTGGGTTTCATCAGATGAGTTTTCTGCTCCTTCAAGCTTTTGATCTAAGGAAAATGAAGTCCACATTAACCAGCTGCTGACAGCTGTGGCTTTGACACCAGTGCTTAAGTGCCCAGATTATCAATGTACACTCCCGGATGGGATGGCAACCAGCTCTAGTGGGTATTTTTAA